ACTTCCTACCCTCTCTCTCTTCCTGCCTCTCTGCCTACGTGTGATCTGTCAAATAAATAAATAAAATCTTTAAAAAAAAATTAAGTCTTCATTATGTGCCACCCAATATAACCATTGACAAAAATTTGTTAGTTTATTTCCTTATGCAAATATTATATGTAGACACATACAATTGTGCAATTTCCTATCTGTTGTTTTCTATAATATTACATGTAAGCATTTTCCCAAGTTCTTCAACTTTCTTTAAAAAATGGAAGTTTTAGGGGCACCTGGGTGGCTCAATGGGTTAAAGCCTCTGCCTTCAGCTCAGGTCATGATCCCAGGGTCCTGGGATCAAGCCCCACATCAGGCTCGGGGAGCCTGCTTCCCCCTTTCTCTCTACCTGCCTCTCTGCCCACTTGTGATCCCTCTCTCTCTGTCAAATAAATAAATGAAATCTTTGAAAAAAAAAAACCAAAAAAAATTTTTTAAAATATGGACGTTTTAATGGCTGAATGGGGTTGCTTCATTGTGATCTACCATCTTTTATGTAAACAATCCCCTAAAATTAGATTTTTGAGTTGTTTCCAATATTTAACAATGATATCCATACTATGGAATACTATTAAGTAATAAAAAAGAATGAAATATTATTACATGAAACAACGTGGATCATTTTCAAAGACATTATGCTAAGTGAAAGGAGTCAGACACAAAAGGCTACATGCTATATTGTGATTCCAACTATATGAAATTCTAAAAAAACAAAACTATAGTAACAGAAAGTAGGTCAGTGGTTATCTGTGGCGAAGGGGAAGGGAAGAGAATCTGTTGGAAAGAGGCATGAAAATACTTTTTTTTAGGGTAATAGAACTATATATTGATTGTGACAGTAGTTACACAACTATAAACAATTACAAAAATTCTTCAAACTCTACACTTGAAATGGGTGGATTTTATTGTGTGTAAATTATACCCCAATAAAGCTTGAAGAAATGAAAACAGAAGCAAAGATTACTATGAAATTTCTTGAAAAAAAAAACTTATTTTCATTTTTACATATTTCCTTTAAATTTTTGGCTATATTCATACTCTATACAGCTATAATTATAGAATCTATGTAAATTTATATTTTAGACATTTTTATACACAATTTTACATATTTCTGTACAGTCTTCATAATTATGATTTAAAATAGTTATACATAATTATCCAAAGCCAAAAATAATTTCCCTACTGTTAACAGGTAAACTACCAAATTTTAAAGCAAAGGATTCAAAAAAAAAAAAAAGAAAGAAAGAAAAGGCAGCTAATTCCTCCTCAATATTTGGATGCCACCAAGTGGACAAACTGTGCAATGTTGCTGAAACCAAGTAAGCCATTTTATACATTTTATAAATTAAAAAAAAAATCAACTTGATGATTAGTTTTCTCATTTAAAGATTATTTTTAAAGTCAGATTTTAAAAATTAAAACAGACCATTTACAATTTACTAGATTACAATCCTCATCTATCTCTTTTATTTACTTAACTCTCAAATCTTAATCTGGGGAAATCAGTTAAGGAAAAGAACTTCCTGTCGAGACCTAGTTCTTTACAAACTGAAGCCGTGGGTGTCAATGCTAGACATGGGTCTATCACAAGGCCCAAACCAAAAACTCGTGTACAGATCTCCAAACGCAAACAGCCTTTGCTGTCAGCCAACCTAGTGACTTCTAACACGACAATAAAGCCTCCCGGGAGGTACGATGAAATTGATGACAAAAAGTTGGAGACAATTGTATGGAAGGCAGAGAAAGATACCAGGAGACTCATTCCCTTTTGGGCAAAGACTTGCTAATTCTCTTTATGAGTCACCAGGATTTTCGCCCCACAGTCCCTGGCCTCTCCAGTTCAAGCTTTTACAGTTGCATTGAAACCGCAACTGGCTAGAGCCACAAAAAGAAAGATTATTTCAGGGAAGTGTTTGGTCCCTGCCAGGGTCCACAAAAGAATGACTTTTTCAAAAGAATGCCTTTGAATGACACTGAGCCATTGCCTACCACCAAGCAGAAAGATGAACACGCAGCTCTACCTGTGACCCAACACTGCTCCCAATTATTTTTTCCGGCACTCTTTAACCCTCCCCATCTTGCTGCCAATCTCCATAAAGTGAAAAGGAATAGCTGAAAAAAAGAAAAAGGGAAAACTCTAGGAGCACCAGTCCCAAGAACTCTTAAAGGAATGCCATGAATCCACAAAGAAAGAAACCAGCCAGAGAAAGAAAAGATAGCTCGCTGAGACCTAACTATGGTTTCATTGTGGCAAATCACAGAGGCTTGTTTCTTTCTCTTTTTTTTTCAAGATTTATTTTTTTATTTGAGAGAGAGTAGGGTAAGGGGCAGAGGGAGAGACTCTTCAAGCAGACTCCCTGCTGAGAGTGCAACCTGATCTCACATCCCCAAGATCATGACCTGAGCCAAAACCAAGAGCTGGATGTTCAACCAACTGAGCCACCCAGGCATCCTGGTTGGCTTGTTTCTATTTGCTGAAATGTTTGTTTGCTTGTTTCCTTCCTTCCTTCCTTTCTTCCTTCCTCTCCTTCTCTTTCTAAGATTTTATTCATTTATTTGACAGAGAGAGAGAGAGACAACTAGATCAGGAACAGATGCAGGGGGGGTGAGAGAGGGAGAAGCAGGCTTCCCACTGAGCAGGAGCCTGATGTGGGGCTCCATCCCAGGAACCGGATCATGACCTAAGCCAAAGGCAGTTGCTTAATGACTGAGCCACCCAGGGGCCCTGCTTGTTTTCATTTTTATTATATTTCTTACAGAAAATACATTATTTCAGTACAAATTCAAAAAGTACAAAAGGGTAAATAATGAAAAGTGTAAACAATGAAAAGTCTTCTTCCAACAGTTTCTCTGGCTGACCAGCCCCATTCCTAGAGGCAACCATTAATCATTTCTTATGAATCTTTACAGAAATATCTCATGTGTAGATGAACAGTTACATATGTACACTCTCCCCATATAGACATTCAGTCCCATTCCCCTTTCCTTTTTGCATAAATGGTGAACCACTATACACAATGATGTATAAGGGTTTTTTTTTAATTTTTTATTTATTTTTATGAGAGAGAGAAAGCACAAGATGGGGAGAGTCAGAGGGAGAAGCAGACTTCCCACTGAGCAGGGAGCCTGATGCTTGATTCAGGATCAAGACCTGAGCCGAAGGCAGACACTTAACCAACTGAGCCACACATGGCCCCCAATTTGTAGTGTTTTTCACCTAATAATACAATTTGTCAGAGCATTCATAACATATCAATATGTAGTTTCCTATTCATTTTAAACCTCTATCATATTCTATCACATGGATATACCATAAGATATTTAAGGAATCCCTTATTAAAATGAAAGTTTACCAGAGGAATGCTGAAAAAGAAAGCCAAAGTTGGTGGCATCACAATTCCAGATTTCAAGCTCTATTACAAAGCTGTAATCATCAAGACAGTATGGTACTGGCACAAAAACAGACACATAGATCAATGGAACAGAATAGAGACCCCAGAAATAGACCCTCAACTCTATGGTCAACTAATATTCAAAAAAGCAGGAAAGAATGTCCAATAAAAAAAGACAGTTTCTTCAACAAATGGGGTTGGGAAAACTGGACAGCCACATGTAGAAGAATGAAACTGGACCATTTCCTTAAACCACACACAAAAAATAGACTCAAAATAGATGAAAGACCTCAATGTGAGACAGGAATCCATCAAAATCCTTGAGGAGAACACAGGCAGCAACCTCTTTGACTTCAGCCGCAGCAACTTCTTCCTAGAAACATCACCAAAGGCAAGGGAAGCAAGGGCAAAAATGAACTACTGGGACTTCATCAAGATCAAAGCTTTTGCACAGCAAGGGAAAGAGTCAACAAAACCAAAAGACAACTAACAGAATGGGAGAAGATATTCACAAATGACATATCAGATAAAGGGCTAGTATCCAAAATCTATAAAGAACTTAGCAAACTCAACACCCAAAGAACAAATAATCCAATCAAGAAATGGGCAGAAGACATGAACAGACATTTCTGCAAAGAAGACATCCAGATGGCCAATAGACACATGAAAAAGTGCTCCACATCACTCGGCATCAGGGAAATACAAATCAAAACCACAATGAGATACCACCTCACACCAGTCAGAATGGCTGAAATTAACCAGTCAGGAAACGACAGATGCTGACAAGGATGCGGAGAAAGGGGAACCCTCCTACACTTTTGGTGGGAATGCACGCTGGTGCGGCCACTCCGGAAAACAGCATGGAGGTTCCTTAAAAAGCTGAAAATAGAGCTACCCTACAACCCAGCAATTACACTACTGGGTATTTACCCTAAAGATACAAATGTAGTGATCTGAAGGGGCACGTGCACCTGAATGTTTATAGAGCAATGTTCACAATAGCCAAACTATGGAAAGAACCTAGATGTCCATCAACAGATGAATGGATAAAGAGATGTGATACACACACACACACACACACACAAACACACACACACTGGAATGCTGCATAGTATTGCATAGTATTCCAAGAAATGGAATTTTGCCATTTTCAACGATGTGGATGGAACTAGAGGGTATTATGCTGAGCGAAATAAGTCAATCAGAGAAAGACAATTATCATATGATCTCCCTGATATGAGGAATTTGAGAGGCAGGGTTGGGAGTTTGGGGGGCAGGGAAAGAAAAAATGCAACAAGATGGGATCAGGAGGGAGATAAACCATAAGAGACTCTTAATCTCACAAAACAAACTGAGGGTTGCTGGGGGAGGGAGACGGTGGTCAGGTTATGGACATTGGGGAGGGTATGTGCTATGGTGAGGGTTGTGAATTGTTTAAGCTTGACGATTCACAGACTTGTACCCCTGGGACAAATAATACATTATATGTTAATAAAAATAATTAACAAAAAATTTAAAAAAATGAAAGCTTAGCTTCCTTCCAATCTTGTGCTATTTTCACTATATTCTTCTTACCAGAAATTTTCTGGACTAATTCGATTGCTTCCTCAACCGGGTCTGAGTTCACCATTTTGTCTAGAATACCCAGCTGGAGTGCTTCCTCTGCCGAAACATGTCTTCCTAAAACAAAATGATACAAAGAACAATGTGAGGTTAAAGCAAAAGCATGACTCTCTCTAGTATAAGAAGGTTATCTGTCCTAGGTACAAACATTTGTTATTAAATGAAATAAATAAGCAACACACTGACTTTTACAGTAGAAAGGTCACTATATAGGTAACAAGAAAACTTAATTCAAGCTTCAGCTCTACCTTCTACTACTGTTTGTGTGATGGTTAAGAATTGTACGGGAATCCCCCTTCCCTCTAGGCAAATGGGAATAATTATGCTTACCTCGGTAATTCTGAGTATCAAGTGAAAATAATATATTTTCTTTATATTCCATAAATCACTATACAAGTACTTTGTAAACTATACATCTCTAAAGAAGAAATGATTGATTTTTGAGAATAATAATATGGTAACAGCAGCAAAGCAGCCGTACCTCTCTTACATCAATACACACCGACATAATACCAACACTGATTACAAAAAAACAAACAACCAAACAAACAAAAATACCAGACCTGAAACATGAATATAGTTGGGTAAACAGGGAAATTATTAATTTGGCACTGTTTATGTTATAATCAAAATTACACGGGCTAAATGGGGTGGACTTCTGTCATTTTTTGCCTAGCCAGCAACTTTGTGGAGTTGCTATAATGTGAGTTTTAGAGCCCTGCCTTTTACTACAGCAGCTAAAAGGGAAGCAGAAGTGATCAGACAATTGTTCCTTCAGATCCATTCAGGTAGGGTGTGGCCCATGACCCTAAATTTGGTGAAAGCAGGGCTCAGAAGTGGGGTTTTAGCCTGCAGTGAGGACACTAAGCAGCAGCTAGCGACATCTAGTGTCTGATGGCGGTGGTACCAGGAGCATCTACTGTCTGGAGGTGTCCTGAGTTCTTCACTAGGTATAAATATGTAATTTAATCTGAATATTCTGAAGTAGCAGGTTAAGGGATACGAGGACCCCTTATCACAGGGTCAGAAGAAAGGAGACAGTAACACCTTACTTGCTTTCTTGCCAGTACCATCTTGCCTTGCAGAAAGTGATCATCAAATCAGTCTTGAGGGCAACAATGCCACAGTCCTAGCTGTTCATACAGTGTTAGTGGATATCATCTTTGAGACACACCCTCCATTCTGGGTTCTTAGTAGTGCTTCAGAGAGTTACAAATGGGTTTTCTTGATCTGATAGACAGTTCAGTGGTTTCCGGCAGGGGCCACTCTGCAACATTATTTAGGCGATTTTCAAGAAGTGCCCTTGAAAACAGGCTCCCTGATTTCCTCCTGGGGTGAGGAGTGGATGAGTGGCTGCAGGTGTCAAGTCTCCTGTGTGTAAGATCACTGGGGCAGGGGGATCGGGGGAGATGCCTGAGTAGCTCAGATGGTTGGGCGGCTGCCTTTGGCTTGGGTCATAATTTCCAGGTCCTGGGACTGAGCCCCATGTCAGGTTCCCAGCTCGGCAAGGACTCTGCTTCTCCTCCCTCTGCCTCTCCCACTGCTTGTGCTTTCTCTGTCTCTCTCTCAAATGAATAAATTAAAGAATCTTTAAAAAAAAATAAAGTGTTAACTCCATTGTTGGTGTTACGATTCTAGATATCAGCTTAGGCTATATTTAGTAAGCCTTTTTTAATGTTTCCCTGACTCATTCTTAACTTTACAAGGGAGTCCAAAGTGGAGACCCTAAAAAAACAAAACAAAACAAAACCAAAAAACAACACTTGGGTAAGGGGTGAGTGACTCAGCCTGCCCAGGTTAAGGGCATCAATGGCAGACAAATGGAAAATGGAAACCTGAGTACAAAAAGGCTCTTTAGGGCAAGTGTGTAGGTACTGTGAGCTAGCCAGACGGTGCAAATTTCTTCAGCTGTAATGATTGCTTTCAGCCTGAATTTCACACAAGTGGAGGTGTAGCACGACTGTTCTTACAAAGTCAGTGAGGTTCTGGGTTCTTTGATTCTGTTTCGAGGGCCTAAAGATCCAGCTCTGTATGTACAACCCGAATATTCAGGCTCAAACTTAAACTTGCTTTTTCTCTTGCTGCCCTCAGTGTAGACAACAACCAGGGTCCAAGGGACTTTAATGAGAACCTTGCCAAGAGCTACTATAAGGAGACCCAGGGTAACTGAAGCTGAGACTTCTCTTCTCCAAAGTGGGGAATCTTGATTGTTTCCAAGGTTCTTCATGGCTTCTTTTCCAATCTTTAAAAATCTTTTTCTACATGGAATCCTTTCCAATGTCATTTTTAAGGTCCTCCTAAAATTGTACAATTTAAAAAGATAGGTATATGATTCTGATGTTAGTTTTCTTCTAATTCACTGTGACCTTTTCTATGCAAATCAAAATCCATCATATCCTTACTGTTCGTAGTTCTTCTCTTCATCAAGTTAAAAATAGTGGTATTTCTATAAGCAGCAGTGCTTTGGAAAAGGCAATCCTTGTTCACTTCATTTTTGTCAAAGAAGCCAGATTTCTTCCTGACTTCCCCCAAGATATGCTTGCCTTTGAGACTTAATGATGAAAACAGAGACACAAGATTCCTCAATATTCCCCCCCATGCTTCAATTTTTGTAAACCTTGGAATTTACAGACTCATTTCACATTATTATAATTTCCCCCATATTTTATTTGCTTTACTTCCTTTCTATTTGATCTTTCGCAGAATGAACAGCTTACGTGCTTTGAATTCTGTAGTATATTGGATTATAAGCACCCTCTTATGAATTTTACATTAGATAGTTAACAGACTGTACATTCTTAAAAGTGTACTTATCATACCATTTAACTTAAGACAATTTCTAATTTAATTTATTGAAAATCAAGAAATTTAATACTTTTAGTTTTTCTAGCTACCCTTTCATACTCTGTACAGATTTATAACACCTCCCCAGCATTTAAAAGAAAAAAGCAGCATTTTTTAGGCACATAGACTCATACTATTTTCTAATTTGGATCATGTACACACAGTTTTGTATGGTGGTTTCTGTGTCAGAAAAAAAATAATGGATTTCAATTAGCAGTTCCCAAACTTTTTAAGCTTAGGACCATTTTGCACTCCTAAAGATAATGGAGGACTCCAAAAAGGCTTTGTTTATGTGGATCATTTCTATCAATATTTACTATATTAGAAATTAAAACTGAAAACTTTCAAAATGTTTCTTCATTAAATCACTTTAAAACAATAAGGATAGGGCACCTGGGTGGCACAGTTGGTTAAGCATCTGCCTTCAGCTCAGGTCATGATCCCAGGGTCCTGGGGTCGAGCCCTGCATCAGGCTCCCTGCTCAGCGGGGAATCTGCTTCACCTCTCCTCTCCCCCTGCTTGTGCTCTCTCTCTCTCCCTCTCTCTCCCTCTCTCTCTCTCTCTCTGTCAAGTAAATAAAATCTTAAAAAAATAATAACAAGGATAAATGTTAATGTTAACATTAATGTGAATACATTTTAATGCAAAATAACTATATTTTCAAAATTTTAAAAGTCCAATGAGAAGAGTGTCATTGTTTCATATTTTGCAAATTTCTTTCATTTCTGCCTTAATAGAAGACAGCTGGGTTCTCATATATCCTCTACATTCCATCTGCTCTGACATCACATGGCTTACAACCACCTCTGGAAAGTTCTACTATACATGTGTGAGGGAATAAGAGTGGAAAAGGCAAGTCATGTCCCATTGTTATGAAAGTAGCTCTGACTTCATGAACCCCCCCCAATGGTCTTAGGCATTCCCCGGAGTACCCGGACCCTACTTTCAGAATTTCTGATATAGATTATCATTTTAAAGATCGTATAGAATCTTAGAATAGGCTTGTTGTTTTAAAGACTGTACAGAATCTTAGACTAGGATTCTACATCCTAGGATTCTATACAGTCTTTAAAATGGGGGCGCCTGGGTGGCTCAGTGGGTTAAGCCTCTGCCTTCAGCTCAGGTCATGATCTCAGGGTCCTGGGATCCAGCCCCACATTGGGCTCTCTGCTCAGCAGAGAGCCTGCTTCCCCCTCTCTCTGCCTGACTCTCTGCCTACTTGTGATCTCTCTCTCTCTCAAATAAATAAAATCGTTAAAAAATAAAATAAAATGATAATAATGTAAGGATAATAAAATATGACAAGCATACAGGATGCCTGGGTGGCTCAGTCGGTTAAGTGGCTGCCTTTGGCTCAGGTCATGATCCCAGAGTCCTGGGATCGAGTCCCACATCGGGCTCCTTTCTCAGCGGGCAGCCTGCTTCTCTCTCTGCCTCTGCCTGCTTCTCTGCCTACTTGTGATCTCTCTCTCTCTCTGACAAATAAATAAATCTTTTAAAAAATATGACAAGCGTATGCAACAGTCATGTACTAGAACTGCGTATGATCTGATTTGATACACACCAGCTCTGCCTTGGAACCTTGGGTACTAGGATAGTATACCAATGTTCCCTATAGTTAATGTTTATTTGTGGCTGGAGTAATTGTAGTTATTTTGAAAGTAGTCTTTTGTTTTGTTTTTATCTTTCGGGAGCTCTCAGGATTCCATTTCCTAGAAGTTTAAAATCTTTACCAAAGATACATCAGGCAATTGAAATCTCATCATTTTTTCCAAGAAAATGGTGAACTTGCTGAAATGTGACCTCTGGCTCCATTTCATATCTGAAGAGTTTCTTCTGTTTTTTCCTTTGGTTACCACTTCTCACCTTTTTGCTTCATGCTTTGGGAACTCTTGTTATTCAAAGCAGAGACCTCGAATACATACCTTCTCTATTTTTATGTTAGATTCTGAATTTCAAAAACGGATCTCTATTTATCCTGCACTTGCTGATTGAGTTGTCTGTCCGATCAAGTCCTCTTTTCATTGCTTCGAAAAGAAGTTATTTGGCCCAGTGTTTTGATTTTAGACAGGGGGTTCTTATTGAACAAATGCAGTATTTTCTAAGTTAGATTATTTTCTAAGATTTTCATTTTCTTTCATCTGTTTCACATTAATGTTTCAGTCTTTTAACACCACGGAATATTTTGAGATGTTTGGGGCTCAGTGTTAAGTTTTTTTTGTTTGTCTGTGGGTTTGGGTCCCTGAATTGTATTTGCTGATATATATTATTGCTACTTGGGAGCTCCGGCTACTAAAATTTACCCTTCATATCTTGTTCAAATACGGAGAAAACTCACCTGAACTTAACCCACCTGAAAAGCAGGTAGGATAAGGATGCCACTCACAACATCTCCCTTACTATTCTAGGTACTACTAAGAAGTATCTCCTCAAAGTCTACAGCCTGAGAGTACCCCTGTCCCGGGAATGACCATAAAGAAATTCAGGGGCTGGAGCAAAGCTCTACAAGAACAGAGCAGAAACTCTGTATGCTGTTCAGTGAACAAGGAGGACAAACCCTAAAAAGAGAAAGCAGAAGAGCAGGGCACTGTATCCTTGTCATTTGATTGGACAGAGAACACCAGGCAACGAATCAGAGTGGGCTCAAGCTTCTCTTTTGCGGTTACTGGGAAAGATTCAGCTGTTTTCAGGTAGCATTTTAAGGGAAGTGTGGAAAAGCAATGGTGGTTGTCCTAATTGCTTCACTTTCCAGAATTAGCTCTCTAATGGTTTCCAGAAGATCCAAAAAGATTAGCTATTTACTCATTAATTTAATCCAAATCTGTTTACTTATTAACTTCCTATGGGCACAGTGCCTACCAAGTTGGTGTTTGGTTTTTTTTTTCAACATTAACAGCAGCAGGGGATCTTCGACTTTCAATAACAATTTTTTTTTAGCATACTCTGTTAGAAAAAAAAATATTCCAAACCAAAGACTAACAGTCTTAATGGCTTCATTATCAAGAGGTACTGTATTAGCCTCCTCCACAAATTCCCACAAACGTAGCAGCTTAAAACAACACACATTTCTTAGCTTAGCTTAGTTTGGAAGTCTGAAATAGGTCAGCAAAACTGTCTGGGGGCTCTAAGGGAGAATCCGTTGCACGGTCTTTCCCCGCCTCCAGAGGCTGCCTGCATCGCTTGGCTTGTGACCACTTCCTCCATCTTCAGAGCCAGCTGGCAACATCTCTCCTCTCTGACCTCTTGCCTCCCTCTTCTAAGGATGCTTGTAAGGAATTGGGCCCACCTGAAAAATCCAGAATAATCTCTCTTCTCAAGATTCTTAAGTTATTCACATCTACAAAGTCCCTTTTGAATGTGAGGTAACATATTCAGTGGTTCTGGGGATGAGGACAAGGACATCTGTGGTGGTGGTGGTGGCATTATTTGGCCTGTCACAGTTGCTGTTCATTAAATGTTTTCTATGTGGCAGCTACTCTACCAGAAGCAAGTCCTGTGATTTCATTATTCTTTAAAGCAACTGTGTGGTATTGTTACTGATAAGAAAATGGAGGCTGAGAGATCAGAAGACCTCTCTCCTAAACCCCAGCCAGTTTGTCCAACTGCCTACTTGACATCTCCACTTGGATGTCCCATAGTCCTCTCAGACTTAACATGTCCCAAAGTAAGCTCTTGTGATTTCTCCCTACAACCTACCCCACCAGCAACAATCCCCATCTCAATAATGGCACCATCCTTTCAGCTGCTCAGGCCACCAGAATCACTCTGTCTCCTCTTTCTTGCACCTCTCGCTTCTGATGGGTCACAAAATCCTGCTAGCTCTTCCCTCATAACATGGGCAGAATTTGACTATGTCTCACCATTTGCATGGCTACCCACTCAGGTTTCAGCTCTCCTCATCTCACCCTTGGATGATTAGAGCAGGTTGCTAATCATGATGTAGCCTTCCTACCTCTGCTCTTACCTCCAGTTAATGTATTTTCAACAGCCAGAGTGATCTTTTAAAAAACATAAATGAGAGCTTGTGACTCCCCTGCTCAAAACACTCCAATGCCTTTCTGCCTCATTTAGAAGAATAGCCAAAGTCCCATTCTATCATCTTCAAAGCCCTATATGATGCCACTTCATCTCCTATGTCTCTTCCCCTTACTCACTTCACTCCAGCTGTATCAACCTTCTTGCTGTTCTTTGATACTTCCAAGCGTACTACAGCCTCCCGGGCTTTGCGTTTGCTATTTTCTCCATGTGGAATACTTTCCTCTAGATATTGGCATAATAAGCCTCCTCACCTCTTTCAGGTCTTCACCCAGATATCATTTCATAGGAAAGCCTTTTTAACCCCTCCATCCCTAACATTTTATATTAAAATATTACCCCTCTATCCCTAACATTTTATATTCCCACTTTCTGTTTTATGTTTCTCTTTGGCACTTATCTCCATCTAACCTACTATTTACGTGACTTACGTCATAGGTAGGCATATGTGTGAGTATACAGTTGTGGTAGCTAGCCTCCAAAGTGACTCCCAGTGAGTGTCACCTCTTGGTGTTCAAGCCCCCTCCCATGTTGAATAGTGAAGTCCTCTATAAGCAAGATCATATGTACATTATGTATACATATATATTATATATATCTCATGTATAGATGTATAAATGTATATTATATATCTGTTATGTATATACATAATCAATCAGAAAAGATGGTGCATGACTCCAAAGCTAGGTCATAAGACATCACAGCTTTCGCCTTGTTCTGTCTTGGATCACTGACTCCAGAAGAAGCCACTGCCCATGTTGTGAAGACACTCAGGCAGCTGTAGGGAGAGGTCCACATAGAGAAGAAATGAAGCCTCCTGCCAACAGTCAGCATCCACTAGCCATCCATGTGAGGGAACCCACTCGGAAGTAGATCCTTTAGCCCCATTCAAGTTTTCAGATGACTACAGCTCCAGTCAATGTCTTGACTACAACTTCATGAGAAACCCTGAGCTAGAATCGAGCTAAGCTGGTCCCAAATTCCTGACCCGAAGAAATATCGTCAACCAAAACATGACTCTTTCTTCCAACCTTATCTCAGTTGGAAATCTCTTTAAAAGTCTCAGCAGTATTTGGTAAATCTAGGGTGTTTAAATGTTTTATAGTATTGTACTGTTCACATTCCCTAGTGAAAAAGAACAATCTTCATTTGTAGCTAAAATCTTAATACCTGTGAAAGGAAAAATTCAGTCTTTGCCACACTGACACATGAAATCTTTCTGTGACAATTCTGGTTTTAATTTTTATTTATATTACAATTTTTAAATTGAGTCTGAATATAACGTACCTTATATGAATACCAGTGTCTGTGTGTGGACACTTGAACTATATAATTGGTGCTTTGTACACACTTTGATTTAGAAGGCACTTACATGTGGTCTTCATGGTAATGTCTGAGAAGCTCTCAGGGAAGGTACTCTTTCCATTTTACAGATGAGAAAATCGATTGTCAAAGAAGTTGAAATATCCTCTTAAGATTACATGAGTAGGGAATGGCCAATCTAGAATTTCTCTACATTCTCATTCAGTTCCTCACATTGCTCTAGACGGTTGTTGGCAGGGTTTGTACTGACCTGAGGTAATTAAGTCAAGTGCAGCAGGAACTCCAATGAGTCTGGGGAGAAGCTGGGTTCCTCTTGCACCAGGAAGGATTCCTAATGTGACTTCTGGAAAGCCAATTTGAGCCTATCAAAGTTTGAAGACATGAAGATCGTAAGAATGAGATGCCCTGTAAAATCAAGGCAACCATTCCCTTGGATTTCCCACACTCTTGAAAACACTGTTTCATAATATTCAGCAAATATTCTACAGGGAAAATGAGTCCACACTCTACTTAATTAACAGCATAAACAAAGCTGTGCTTCATGCTGAAACACATCTCTAACTTCTTACACATTTTTTCTCTGACTCCATTATGAGCTGTTTGGGCCAACAAAAATGATATTCTCCAGAAACAGCTTTATGGAGCCCTAAAAGAGTGAGGCAGCCAAGAAATTAAAAAAGACAACCCACAGAATAGGAGAGAATATTTGCTAATCATATATGTAGAATACATAAAGAACTTTTCAACTCAATAATAAAAAGACAATCCAGTTAAAAAGGGGCAAAGGCTCTGCATAGACATTTCTCCAAAGAAGAGATATAAATGGGCCAATAAGCACATGAAGAGATGTTCAATATCATTAGCCATCGGGAAAATGCAAATCAAAGCCACAAATTCACATCCAATAGGATGACTATAATAAAAAGACAGACAGGGCGCCTGGGTGGCTCAGTGGGTTAAGCCGCTGCCTTCGGCTCAGGTCATGATCTCGGGGTCCTGGGATCGAGTCCCACATCGGGCTCTCTGCTCGGCAGGGAGCCTGCTTCCCTCTCTCTCTCTCTCTGCCTGCCTCTCCATCTACTTGTGATCTCTCTCTGTCAAATAAATAAATAAAATCTTTTAAAAAATAAATAAATAAATAAAAATAAAAAGACAGACAATAACAAGTGTTAGAGAGGAGGTAGAGAATATAAAACCTTCATATATTGTTAGTGGAAATAAAAAATGGTACACTTTGGAAAACAATTTGGCAGTTCCTCAAATGTTGAACATAGAGTCTCCATATGACCCAGCAATTCCGCTCCTGGGTATGTACACAAGAGAAATGCAAACATGCCCACCAAAAAAAAAAAAAAAAAAAAAAAAAGTACACAAATTTTCATAGCACCATTATTTAAAAATGCCAAGAAAATGGAAACAACCAAATGTCCATCAATGGATGAATGGAAAAAGAAAATGTGGTATATCTATACAGGGGAATATTATTAGGCTGTAGAAAGGAATGAAGTACTAATACAGGCTACAGCATGGGTGAACCTTGAAAACATTATGCTAAGTGATAGAAGCCAGTCATAAAAGACAACAAGCTGTATGATTCCATTTATATGAAATGTTTAGAATGGGCAAACCCATACAGACAGAAAGATTAGTGGTTGTCAAGGACTGGGGGAGAGTGTAGATGGTAGGTTACTCCTAAAGAGTATGAATTTTTTTTTTGGAATAATAAAATGTTCTAAAATCAACTGTGGTAATGGTTACACAACTCTGTGAATATGCTAATACACCATTCAGTTGTACACTTTAAGTGAGTGCATTACATGGTATTTGAATTATATCTCAATAAAGCTATTGCAGAAAAATAATCAGGCAACAACCTCAGTCCAGACAAGAGAGTGAGCTTGAGCCTTTATCACATGCCTCTCCTGGCTATTTAAAAGTGGGTAAAGCTTGGGGCATCTGGGTGCCTCTGTTGGGTAAGTGTCTGGCTCTTGATTTCAGTTCAGGTCATGGTCTCAGGGTTGTAAGATCAAGCCCTGCATTGGACTCATGGTGGGCGTGGAGCCTGCTTGAGATTCTCTCTTTCCCTTTCCGTCTGTCTGCACTGCCTGCCCTCCACCATCCCCCCCACCAACTCCGGCACCCCCCACCCCTGCACACATGCTCTCCCTCTATTTAAAAAAAAAAAAAAAAAGGCTAGAGCTCTGTTAGTCATCTTCTAGGTTCAGGATGGGAAGAGGAAAGCACTTTAATGCAGACTGTCATTTACCCACATTGTAATGCCCACAGCTCCAAAATAAATATCTGAGCCTCTCTCACACAAGGCTTTCCTAACAGTCAGTCATGATTTTTTCCACCACTATTCATCCCCATCCCAGCTGACTTATTGTTCATAACTTAGATCTGCAGTCAGTGTGCAGAAGGCACATTAAGAGGGACACAGAAAAAGGAGCACTTAGGATATAAGTCTTTATTCATAAGCCTTTATAAAAATTAAAATGCCCTAAGGGGGGCACCTGGGTGGCTCAGTGGGTTAAAGTCTGCCTTTGGCTCAAGTCATGATCCCGGGGTTCTGGGATCAAGCCCCACATCGGGCTCTCTGTTTCACGGAGAGCCTGCTTCCTCCTCTCTCTCTGCTGCCTCTCTGCCTACTTGTGATCTGTCTGTCAAAAAAATAAATAAAATCTTTTAAAAAAAATTAAAATGCCCTAAGGAAACAAATAAATTATGGTATAGCTGTAAGACAAAATTATGTAGCCATTTAAAATGATAGTTTTAAGGACTATTTACAATAAGAATAACAGCAAATTTCATCAGAAACCATAGAGGCCAAGAGGCAATGGGATGATGTATTCAAAGCATTTCAGTGTTTTTACTTTCAGGTAAAAACCTACTTTCAGGTAAAAACCTGTCAAACAACAGCTCTATACCTGGCAAAACTAGCTTTTGAAAATGAAGATAATTTAGGGTGCCTGAGTGGCTCCATTGGTTAAGCGTCCAGTTAAGTGTCTGACTCTTGGTTTCGGCTCAGGTCATGATGTCATGGGTCATGAGATGGAGCCTGAGCAGGGCTCTGAGCTCAGTGGGAGTCTGCCTGAAGATTGTCTTCCTCTCCCCCCACTCCCAATTTATGCACACAAATGAGCACATGTACTCTCTTTCTCTCTAGAATAAATGTTTTTTTTTTTTAAAGATAGCAAAGAAAAAAAAAAGGTGTAAGAAAAAAAATACTAGGTAGGAAAAAGACCAGAAGAAAACAAAATAGAATGCTAATAGTTATTTCTGTACTGTGAGTTTATGGGTGATTTTAGTTTACATCTTTATAGTTTCCTGTATTTTCTAGTCTATCACAATGATCAGTATTATCATTATCATTAGAAAATTATGTTACTTATAGGGGCGCCTGGGTGGGCTCAGTCATTAAGAGTCTGCCTTCAGCTCAGGTCATGATCCCAGGGCCCTGGGATTGAGTCCCACATCGGGGTCCCTGCTCAGCAGGAAGCCTGGTTCTCCCTCTCCCACTCCCCCTGCTTGTCTCCTCTCTTGCTGTGTCTCTCTCTGTCAAATAAATTAATTAAATCTTTAAATAAATAAAATCTTTTTAAAAAAAAAAGAAAAAGAAAACCATGTTATTTACAAAAACGTTACCGTTGTAAGACTGGTATCACAGACTTCATCTACATATCTAATAGCCCAAATTGTATCTATCTACAGAAACAAATGGATTTACAGTTTTGTGCTATTTTCAAATAGAAAATTGTCTTCTTAGGGACTGATAATTATGAGGGACCACGAAACCGAAACCTTTGAGATAGGACATAAAATTTTAGGGGCACCTGGGTGGCTTAGTCAGTTGGGCGACTACCTTCAGCTCAGGTCATAATCCCAGGTCAGGGTCCTGGGATTGAGCCCCACATTGGGCTCCCTGATCAGTGGGGGGCCTGCTTCTCCCTCTCTGTCTGCTGCTTCCCCTGCCTGTGTTCTCCTGCTCTGTCTCTGTCAAATAAGAAAAAATAAAATCTAAAAAAAAATTTTTTTTTACAGTACACATACTCAGGATGATAGTCAAAATATTTTCTATCTCATACTGCATGAACATGGCTCAGAGGAACCTGACCTGAGCCATATTACCGGATCAGAGTCCTGGGGGCCCAGTAGTGACCCAGGACATCCCCTTTAGGTGGTAGATCATAGGGAGACCCAAGGGATAGGGTAAGGGGAATCAATTGGACAGTCACGGGGCTCAGGGTAATAGCTATTCACCCATCGGAATGGACATATTTTCAACAACTACTTCCACTTGCTGGGGCACAGAAGCAGAAAAACCAGTGCTAAAAATACATGAGTTGTTACCCAGTGAGCTCGTCCTTTAAAATGAACACCTCTGAGGCATACATAGCATTTAGATTTTGCCTTAAAGAAAAATCCCGCACACCAGGCCCCATAAGGAGTTTTAGCTGTTACCTCTGCATGGGCAATCCTATAGTGACAGCCCAGGGCCAGCTCCAGTCCCCCTCCTAAAGCCAGGCCTTGAATAGCCGCCACCACGGGCTTCTCATTTCTCTGTATTTCATCTACTACATGTCCCAGGACGAGGTCAGACATTCTTGGTGTACCGAAGCTGTGGATATCAGCTCCTAAGGACACAGACAAGGTAAAAGAAAGCTGAGAAAGACTTGGGCTCTGTTATATAATGATAAGGTAACAGACAACTCTCAAGGAATCTCAGACTCTTAGGGTCCATGAAACATTTTATCTTTTGGGTGGACACACAGCGAAGAAAGAACAGCCTGGAAAACATAGAACATGAGAGAAAATCCCCAAATCTTTATCAGGAATCCTGTAATCTTCTGAAGTCTTTCTATATGACAGGTAGCTACCCTACCTTTAAATAATTAAGGGGCACCTGGGTGGCATAGTTGGCTAAGTGTCTGACTTGGTTTCAGCTCAGGTCATGATCCCAGGGTCCTGGGATCGAGCCCCGAATCAGGCTCCCTGCTCAGCATGGAGTCTGCTTGAGTCTCTCTCCCTCTGCCTCTCACACTCATGCTCTCTCTCTAAAATAAATAAGTAAAAATCTTTAAAAAATGTTTTATAAAAATTAAAAAGCTCAGGGGGCACCTGGGTTTAGTCGGTTGAGCGCCGACTCTTGGATTCGGCTGAAGTCATGGTCTCAGGGTCATGAGATTGAGCCCCAGGTGAGACTCCACACTCAGCAGGGTCTGTTTGAGATTCTTTCCCTCTCACTCTTCCTCCTCCTCTGCCTCTCCCCCTGCTTGAATGTGTACTCTCTCTCTCTCTCAAATAAATCAATACATAAAAATCTTTAAAAATTTTTTAAAAAGGTTAAAAAGCCCAGAGAAGGGGAACAGAGATTCTGAGGTTGAGCCAGCCCTTCCTAATCTTTTGCATGGTATTGCTCACCAACCCTATTCACAGCAAGTTAGACCCATATCTTTGTTAAGAGCATGAAGGCATTACAACATAAAACTTCAGTGGAAACACATACATATTTAGGAATTACATGTTCATCAACCAGCTTGGAATTATGTTTTCATAATAGATTTTTTTTGTGATCAAGAAAAGTAACAACATTTATATGTTTTCCTAATCATAAAAATAACACACGTGGGGCACCTGGGTGGTTCAGTGGGTTACACATCTGCCTTCGGGTCAGCCCCAGGGTCCTGGGATCCAGCTCTGAGTCGTGCTCCCTGCTCAGTGGGAAGCCCACTTCTCCCTCTCCCTCTGCTGCTCCCTCTGCTTGTGCTCCCGCTCTCTAATAAATAAATAAAATCTTTAAAAAACAAAACATGCATTACAGGAAATTTTAAAAATATACAGAGTAATAAAAAACATAAAGACCACCTCAAAAATCACCACACAGAGATAACAATGTAATATTTTGGAGGAATTCTTAGTTGTTTCCCAGTGCATATATGTAAATGGCTTTGTGACCTTCAGTAAGCTATTTATTTAGCCTTTAATCTCAACACCTTTCTTAAGTGACTTTGAATTAAACAAAAATTTACTGTAATATACATTTAACAATACTGAGAGCATTCTATAACATCATTTTTCATATTTTCCTTTTTTCACATAACCTTATAAATACTGAGCATTTTCCCTATAGCATTATCTATCCTTTAAAAACATTAAGCAAGGGCGCCTGGGTGGCTCAGTCAGTTCAGCATCTGCCTTCCGCTCAGGTCATGATCCCAGGGTTCTGGGATCAAGCCCCATGTCAGGCTCCTTGTTCAGCAGTGAGCCCGCTTCTCCCTTCGCCTGCCACTCCCCCTGATTTTGCACGCTTGCTCTCTCTCTCTCTCTCTGTCAAAGAAATAAATAAAATCTTTGAAAAAAAAAAAGGGTAGCTCTTTCTGCCCATGGGTCCTGTCCCTGGGCTTTAATAAAATCACCTTTTTGCACTCAAATAAATAAATAAATAAAAAGTATTTATAAATAAATAAATATATAAAAACAAAAAACATACAATATGTCTATTATTAATATATTATATAATATATGATATATAATTTACATATTATATTTTATAATATTTAATGTTATATTAATATAAATATTTATACTATAAATATAATATTTAAGATATATAAAATATAAATGATATATAAATATATGACATATATAAATAAATATTTATTTATTTATTTATTGGTATAAGTTAAAAAGTTAAAGCAATCATTTCATATTCAGCCTATTTATGTTTTTGTTTCTACCTGCTCCTTACCTAGCATTATTTTTTTTTCTTACCCATTCATCATATTCCTACTCTAATCTAGTGTTATTACTATTGTTCTTATATAGATTCCTTTTTGGCTTAAGAAAAACAAGATCTATTTCACCCTCTAACTTTAGATTTAAACAATATTCATATCCTGATAGCAATTAGCACATACTGGATAAACACTTTACACTGGGCACTGTGCTAAGTAGTTTGATATATTCTCTTACTTAATTTTCTTAACACCTAGTTTAAGTGTCTAACAATCCCCATTTTACAGGTCAGGAAGTTAAGGCTTTGAGCTGTTAAGTGGCTAGTTCAAACCTATGACCAGTTAATTACTGGTAGAAAAAGGATTTGAACTTGGGCAGTTTAACTACATAGCCCATATTCTTAAATGTTATACTACATACCTCCTTCCACTTGCAGCATAAGGTTAGTATTATTATCCCATTTTACAGAAACCAAGGCACAGATAAGAGTACAGTGATTTCACTGTTTAACTGTGTATTTCTGGCATATAGAAATGTAACTAATTTTTGGATATTGATTGTATATCCTGCAAAATTCTCATATTAATTCTAGTAGTTTTCTAATAGATTATTTTTATTTCCTGCAAACACTATCATATCTTGTGAATAATGAAGTTTCATTTTTTCCTTTCCAATCCCTATAACTCTCATTTGTTTTTCTGGCCTTACCGGGCTGGCCAGGGCCTGAAGCACAATGTCAAACAGAAATGGTGATAGCAGCTAGCCATGTCTTGTTCCTTTCTCAGAAGGAGAGCTTTCAGTTTATCATTTTATTTGATGTTTGCTGTAGATTTTCCAAAATGGATTAAGACATTTTCTTTCTATACCTAGTTTACCAGGAATTTTTATTTTTAGTACATGTAAGATGTTATCAAATGTTTTCTTCTGCATTTCTTAAAAAAAAAGAATCACATGTTTTTTCTTTTCCAATCTTTTAATAGAATGAAATAAATTAATCTTCTAATGTTCAACCAATCTGGTACTTCTGGGGGAAAAGTTGATGTCTTCTACTTTCTATACTTTGTTAGATTCAATTTTATAATATATTGCTCAAGATTTTTTATATCTAGATTTGTGAATGAAACTGGCCTTTCATTTTGCTTTTTTTTTTTCCCCATTGCAAATTTCATTCACAAATTTTGCTTTTTCATATAGGCCTTGACAGGTGTTGGTACCAAGGTTATGCTAGTCTCACATAATGAATTGGAAAGTGTATTGGATTGAACCTATGACACTTACTTTATTTGGAAATAGGGTCTTTGGAGATATAATTGAGTAATAATGAGGTCGTACTGGATAAGCATGGATCTGTCTCAGCTCAGGGAAGTCTGGACACAGGGGAGAGGGCCGTGGGAGAGAGACAGGGATAGGAGTGAGAGAGTAACAAGCCAGGGAACACCAAGTGTTGCCAGCAACCACAGAAGCGAGAGGACACCAAGGAAAGATTCTTCCTAGAGCTTCCAGAGTAAGAATGGTCTTGCAGATATCTTGACTTTGAACTTCTACCCTCCAGAACTATGAGAGAACAGATTTCTGTTGTTTTCAGTCACCTAGTTTAAGTCATTTGTTACCGCAGCCCTAGGAGACTAATATGGGAAGTGCTCCCTCTTTTTATATTCCCTAAAAAAAAAAAAAATTTGTGTAAAATTAGAATAATATTTTCCTTGACATTTTAGTTAGGGCTTGCCAAGAGTCACCTGCGGCTAGAGTTTATTTTGTGAGATTTTTGATTACTGACTCAATTTCTTTAATGGCTTTCTATTTCCTCATGAGTCATATTGGGAAGCCATAATATTTTCATAATATTTGTGTTATCTTTTTTAATGGCTACAGCATCTGCAGTGATAGCCCATTCACCATTTCTCATGTATATTGTGTCTTCTCTTTTTTTTCTTGATCAGTCTTCTCCAGAGGTTTGTCAATTTTACCAGTCTTTGGAAGAACTAATTTTGACCTAATCTTGAATCACATTTGTTTCTATCTCATTAATTTCTCCTCATTATTCCCTTCCTTCTACTTTATTGGGTCTATTTCACGTCTTGTTTTGTTAGTTGCTTGATACAGATGCTTAGCTCATTATATTTCAGTCTGTTTTCTTTTCTGATAAATACCTTTATGGTTATAAATCTCCTGTTAGTGCCTGGGTGGCTCAGTGGGTTAAAGCTTCTGCCTTCGGCTCAGGTCATGATCAAAGGGTCCTGGGATCGAGCCCCACATCGGGCTCTCTGCTCAGCAGGGAGCCTGCTTCCTCCTCTCTCTCTGCCTGCCTCTCCCCCTACTTGTGATCTCTGCCTGTCAAATAAATAAATAAAATCTTTTAAATAAATAAATAAATAAATAAATCTCCTGTTAACTTTGCTTTAGCTGTATCCTTCAAGTTACATATGTCTCATTTTCTCTTTCATTTAGTTCAAAATATTTTCTAAATTCTTTTATAATTTCTGCTTTGGCTCAGAGATTATTAAGAAATGAATTTAATTTCTAAATGTATGGGTATTTCTAGTTATAGTTTTGTTACTGATTTCTAGTTTAATGACATTGTTGTCAGTGAATGTATTCTAAGTGAAATTTATTGAGACAAATTTAATGAAAGTCTAACAACTCCTAATGCTTTTCTAGAATAATTTTTTCTGTCATTGAGCTCTAACTACATTCTCTCTTTTCTACCTCCTTTCTTACAAAGAAGTAATCAAGTTCTACATAATTGGGATCCCTCTTTCCATGCCACAAAGTCACTATCTTCGGCTCCTGATCTCAACTTTTCAAACAACAAAGTAAGCCATTTAGTAACTGGTTAATGTTCGGCATAGTATTTTAATCTCTCTCAGGCTCATCTTTCTCACCCGTGAATGGAGATTTACTGAGGATTAAAATATAATATGTATAAAAATACTGTTTTCATTATTAATAAGTAAATAACCTATACAACCGGCACACAGTAGGCAAGGTAACTGGTAACTACTATAATGATTAACATTTCTACATTTCTTTATTGTTATGATTCCAATACTTATTTCTTCTCAGGTTTCAATGAACATACATTAAATTCCCTTGGCTGCAGTAAGATCACATAGACCTTCCTATCCACGTGACTTTTGTCAAAGGGCATAAACATATTCAGTGGGGAAAAGGAGAAAAGTTGTCACAAATACCACTGAATCCCTATTTCAGATTCTTTTGCCGTATGTTTTCAATATTTTTGCATCTTCATGGAGTAACCCAGTAAAGACTGTCATGGTCCCTGAGATGGGTGACCTTCAGAAGAAAAATGAACTCCATTTCAAGTCGCTGTGTGAAATAAAAAATAACATTTACTGAACATCTTCTGATATAGGAAGGCACTACACTTCCAGATATACCTCATATAACATCACAAAAACCTGTTAAGATAGATATTACTATCTGCTTTCTTTTTTTAAGATTCTATTTATTTGAAGCCAAACGATGGAAAGAGCCTAGATGTCCATCAGCAGACGAATGGATAAAGAAGATGTAGTATACACACACACACACACTGGAATACTTTGCAGCCATCAAAAAACCCAAACTCTTGCCATATGCAATGATGTGATACAGGGTATTATGCTAAGCGAAATAAGTCAATCAGAGAAAGACAATTATCATATGATCTCCCTGATATGAAGAATTTGAGAAACAAGACAGAGGATCATAGGAGAAGGGAGGGAAAAATGAAGCAAGACGAAACCAGGGAGGGAGACAAACCATTAGAGACTCTTAATCTCAGGAAACAAACTGAGGGTTGCTGGAGTGGAGCAGGGTCGGGGGGATGGGGTAGCTGGGTGATGGACATTGGGGAGGGTATGTGCTATGGTGAGCGCTGTGAGTTGTATAAGACTGATGAATCACAGATCTGTACCCCTGAAACAAATAATACATTATATGTTAATTTAAAAAAAGATTCTATATATTTGAGAGAGAACAAAATGAGAAAGCGAGAGAGTGCACAAGCTTGTGGTGGGGGGCAGCGGGGAGGGCAGAGGGAGAGGGACAAACAGACTTCCCGCTGAGCAAGGAGCCTGCTATGGGGCTCAATCCCAGGACCCTGGGATAATAACCTGAGCCAAAGGCAGATGCTTAACCAACTGGACCACCCAGGTGGCCCTACTATCTACCTTCTAAATAGAGAAATTGAGGTTCAGGAGATAACAGGGATTTGCCCAAGCTCCCATAGGGTGGAGCTATATGTAGAGCAGGTAAGTACCAACATACCTGCTAGTGGTTAGTGTTAGTATATATTAGCAGGTATAACACCCAGCAAGCCTGGCACTAAATGTCTTCCAAAGGCCAAATCCAATATAAAGCAGAGTAAGATCAGAATCTTCTCTGGGTCTCCTTGTGACTGTGTCTCTACAATGTTTCTCATTCCCACTCAAGTCTCCCATATCCTTTACCCGCCCTATGGCATTACCCACAGAGACAGCTCATGCACTATCGGTCTCAGTTTGTGGCTGGTTTCCGGAGACAGCAGGGGAGGGTTAGAGACTGGTTACCTGCAGAGAATTTGCCATCTGCTCCACAAATCACAATGGCTTTTACTGTATGGTCTGTTAGAGCTTTCTGCAGTCCCGCTTTTATTCCATGGAGTACAGTTGTACTAAAAGAAAAAAAAAAAACACATGAGGCATTAGAATGGAGAGGAGAAGGGAGTTGAGGGAAATTGGAAGGGGAAGTGAACCATGAGAGACTATGGACTCTGAAAAACAATCTGAGGGTTTTGAAGGGGCGGGGGTGGGAGGTTGGGGGAACCAGGTGGTGGGTATTGGGGAGGGCACATATTGCATGGAGCACTGGGTGTGGTGCAAAAACAATGAATACTGTTATGCTGAAAAAAAATAAAAAAATCTTTAAAAAAGGAATTTAATTTCTACCATCTCAGTGTTTTTTTTTCCTTTTCTAACAATGAAAAATGAAACATACACACAATGGATAAAAACCTTAGTTACTTACTCTTCAGTTTTCACTAATTTAATCAACTGATAATATGTATGTCAGGGTGCCTGGGTGGTTCAGTCGGTTAAGAGTCTGCCTTCAGCTCAGGTCATGATCCCAAGATCTGGGATCGAGCCCCGCATTGGGCTCCCTGCTCGGTGGGGAGCCTGCTTCTCCCTCTCCCTCTGTCCCTCTGCCCCACTCATGTTCTCTCTCTCTCACTCACTCTCTCTGTCTCAGATAAATAAAAATCTTAAAGAAATAATATATATTTCAACTTTGAATTAAGCATGAAGCTAAATAAATGAAAAAACTTTTTTAAAAATACTATTTTCCTGAACTTTGTTTTAACTTTGACCACTTAGAAGCAGCACTCATCAATTTTAAAATATTATTGTACACCCTCTATGTACAAGAAAAGGAGTTTACAACATTCTAGGAAACAACAAAATATCACACCATATGCTGTAATAAAAGTACAAAGAAAGTGATGTGGACATTTACAAAGAGAAGAACTTACAATTTGTCATCCTAGCAAAATATAAGAAAACTGAAATAGTCTAAAAGAAACAACCTAAGAGGTGTCAGGGGTTCAAGTCACCCCAAATATCCAACCCTTCCCACTTTCTTTCAAATATGACGCATCTAGTTTTTAGCTGCATACGTGACTGCCCAAAGTGAAGACTACATTTTCTGGACTGTTATGCAGTAAAGCCAGTGTAAGGCATTAAATCCTGGACAATAAGATGATAATTTAAGAGTCCTTAAAGGATTGGGAATGCTTTTCTCTTTTCCTTTTCTGGCAGGAATGGGGAGGTGATGGCTAGATCATGAGCAGCCATCATGGACCAAGAGGTGGAAGCCATGTATTGAGGATGGCAGAGCAAGAAATAAACAGACGGGGTCGCTGATGACTGTGGAGCAGTCATACCATTCTAAGACACTGCTGTGAAAGAAATCAACCTTTCCTTGTTTAATCCACTACTCTTTTGAGTTTTCTGTCTCTGACAGCTGAAACCAATACTAACTAATTTAAGAGGCAAAGGCAAAGTCTGAGAAAGAAAAGGCATGTAACAGACTGCTACATTTCCTTAATGAGGGAGTCATCTACAGAAGAGAGTCAAGATTAAATGAGTCTGCTGAAGGAAAAGAGAGCTGAAGGTAAATCCTCTGGATACACCCTCATTGAAGAAGTGGGAGAGGCTCAGCAGAGTGATTTAGTACCAAGGGAGCCCAAAGTCACAAAGATCAAGAGAAGAGAATTTGCCAAGAAGTAGAGGATCAATGAGTGTCAAGGGTTGGAGAAGGAGGAGAACCTAGGAAATGTGATGAGGAATTGCTTAAAGGAAAAACGACAGAACCAGAGTCCAATTTTGCACTGGAATTCTAAGCATTCTGGGTAAAATATCTATTCTAGCATATAGGATGAAAAAGAAAAAAAAAACTTAAACAATTTTTTTTAAAAAAACCAACAAACTGCTAGAAAAGCGAAATTGCTCAGATCAACAACTATGAGTGAAAATGTCAGGAAATAAAGGAGATACTGGTATATATTAACTCCTTTTTGCCTAGTTATTTTTCATCATTTAACCTAGATGACACCAGACAAAACCTCTTGGCTTTGACTGGCTAATTAGAAACCAAATCTACTAGGAGTACCTGGGTTCTGTGGGTTAAGCACCACTCTTGATCTCGGCTCAGGTCATGATCTCAGGGTCATGGGACTGAGACCCCCACACAATCTCCCCCACACCACCACATCCAGCCCCACATGGAGTCCCGAGTTGGCTCAGTGCTCAGAAGGGAGTCTGCTTGAGATACTCTCTCTCTTTCCCTCTGTCCCTCCCCCTGTGCTCGCTCATTCTCTCTCCCCCTCTCTCCCTAAAATAAATAAATAAATCTTAAAAGAAGGAGGAGGAGGTGAAAAGGAAGGAGGAGGAGGAAGAGGAGGAGGAAAGGAAGGACGGACAGAAGGAAGGAAGAAAGGAAGAAACCAAATCTGCTAATGAGATTTGGACCCATCCAGAACACTCAGAAGTTCAAAAGGCAAATATTTCCTCTGGGTAAATAATGGTTGCAAAAGTAGCCAAAATCAGTGCCACTGAGGACAAGAGGCTAGCTTCCCCCCTTTCAACCAAACTCTACTCTTTTACCTCTTACGGTCTCCCTAATTTTGCAAAAATCAAACACAGGGAAATGAAAATGGCTGTAAACAGGCACAGCTTTACCAGATTCAATCCGACAAAGGGACCACAGCCTTGTAACAATGAGTTTACATGGGTTATGAAATAATTTTCTCTGGCGCCTGGCCAGCTCAGGTGGTTAAGCCATTGCCTTCGGCTCAGGTCATGATCCTGGAGTCCTGGGATGGAGTCCCGGAATTAAGTCCTGAATCGGGCTCCCAGCTCCATGGGGAGTCAGCTTCTCCCTCTGACCTTCTCCCCTCTCATGCTTTCTCTCTCTCTTAAATAAAATAAATAAATAAAATATTTTTTAAAAAGAACTTCTTAAAAAAACAAGACAAAAGAAATTATTCTCTCCCTTTAATATTGTCTAAGAGTGGAGAAATTTGAGTCTAGAGTAAAGATAACATTTTCATGAGTGCTGAGCAAAGCTCTTTAGCTTCTGTGGCTTTAGGAGGTCTTTCATGTGACAGTTTTTTTAAATCCAAAGGTCATCATATTAAGTTTGTAGCTTGTGACCAGCATTTTTTAAATCAAAGAAGTAGAAAAGAAGAGAAAAATAGAATATGACAAACCAAACACCATGTAAGGATAAGGGTTCTGTTTTGGGAGGTTTTCGGGGGGGGGGGGCTGTTTGTTTGTTGTTTGTTTGTTTCTGCCCAGTACAGAGCTTGAAGTCACAACCTGCTCCCCCAGATTAAGACCTGGGCTGAAATCAAGAGGCAGACACCTAACAGACTGAGCCACCCAGGCGCCCCATAAGGATAAGTTTTGTTTGTCCTACACTTTAGGATCTTCAGCATAGGTAAATTTCACCACAACCTTAGAAGGTAGATACAAACTTTTCTCTTGCAGGGTGGGGGCGGGGGTGGGGAAGGGGCAGGCTAAATATGAGAAATGCTTAAAATCACTATGAGAAAATATTTCTAGTTATGGGTATAAGACTGTGAAACTTTTTCTCCAAGTTCGTGATGGGCATGGTTTGGCATTATGAGCAGAGGCTGACGCAGAGTCCTAATGTCTACTACCTTTAACTAAAACACAGACAAGTCCAAAATGGATATGTAATCATATCACTTACATTTTTCATCATCAAAACCGAAATAACAGATATTTTGCTTTTTTTTTCTGAGAATGGCAAGAAACTGGACATATTCTTGTTATGATTTTATTCCTGCATCTCTTTTGTATTATTAAATGCAATAACTTTATTAAAAATAAGAATTATTCTAATACTTATGATAAAATGAAATCTGATGACACTAAGATAAAAATTCAGTTAAAATTAGCAGGCCTCCTCATTCCAGTCTCTCTCTCTCCTTTTTTTCTATTAATATGTAATGTATTATTGGTCCCAGGAGTACAGGTCTGTGAATCATCAGTCTTACACAATTCACAGCCCTCACCATAGCCCATACCCTCCCCAATGTCCACAACTCAGCCACCCTATCCCTACCCCGAGCCCCAGCAGCCCTCAGTTTGTTTTGTGAGATTAAGAGTCTCTTGTGGTTTGTCTCCCTCCCATCCCATCTTGTCTCATTTTTCCCCCTCCCTTCCCCCCACCTCGCCTCTCAAATTCCTCATATCAGAGAGATCATATGATGTTTGTCTTTCTCTGATTGTCCAGTCTCTTTTTGCTCCAGTGGTATGTCCTAAGGATGTTGACCAAAGGTCTTTCTGCTTGTTTTATATATTCTTCGTAAATTATAATTTCTGCTAATCCTACTCTCTGAGAATGGGGGGCTCTTTCCTGGTGTGATGGATCACCATCCTTTTAACAAAGATATGCAAGAACCAAATGTATATAATTAAACATTTTTTAAAATAAAAACCACCAGTTTTGAAAGCACGGCTGTTTAAGTACACGGCACACATCTGTGTGAAAGTTTACCAAGGAAGGTGCTCCACGATGAAATTAAAGAAGGTAACTGCACAGTCGTTTTTTGGGAAATGCTACTTAATGCGCTTTCTCCAAACATATCTTCCAGTGAAACACCAAGGCCTTCAGTTTAGAACAGATCAGAAGAAAGAACTTTGCATTTCTCTGCCACATCACAATTCACCTGTTCTCACTGACTTGGAATTAATGAGGACCTTTGTTTGTTTGTTTGTTTGTTTATTTATTTATTTATTTTTCCCACAAATGTGAAGCCACCTTCTCATCGGCTTTTTAAATCTTTCAGTCACACATTGGTAGGGTGGCCTGGACTTGGGGCTGGGAAGTGAGGGATCAGGGTCCGGCCAGCATTGTTACCTTTGGAACAGAACATACACTCGAGAAGTCAAAGCGGCTAACAAGCAGAAGGGCTGAGCACGAAGCTGGCACGGGGGATCCGGTCCGAGCCCAGCTCCCCCACTTAGTAGCCATCTGCCTGTCTCTGAGCCTCAGTTTCCTCACTAGCGAAACCGCGATCAGAGTTCGCAGCGAACGTTCACAAAGCTAACCGAAGCACCAGGCCGCGCCGCGCGCCGCCGCTCCGTCTGTGCCAGTGTCTTTCTGCGTTCAAACCAGCCGCGGGGTGAAAGCCTCGGAGCGGGCAGGCGGCGAAGGGCTCGCCGTCCGCGGGCCGGAGGCGACCGAGCCGGTTACCTGATGGCGTTGACCGGCGGGTTTCGGAGGCGGATCAGCGCCAGGCAGTTCCGCAACCGCTTGTACTCCGCCATGTCTCCTCGCTCGCGAAAGTCGCCTCCGTCTCCCACTGCTAGGCTCTGCCGCGTTCCCCCCACCCCGCGCGGGTCCGGCCCCGCGAGGAGGTGCGGCCTCAGGGCCAATGCGAGCGGGGCGCCGCCTCCCGCCGCCAGTCCTCCCACCTGCTTCTCCTCCTCCACGACCCCAGCCCCGCTCTCGGCGGGTGCTTGTGCTCTCGTTCTCTGTGCTGGTTCCTAGCACGACGTGGATGAAAGAGGACGGCGGAAGAAGGGTGCAACCGTAAGCAAGTCCAGGTTTGCAACGCTGCCTTCTCTGGACAACTTCTGAGTTCGCCAAGCTGGCGGAGCTGTCCTCATCAGTTTTCATCTTCATGATCCTTCTTAACAGGGATAGATACCTGGGGTCTTGCCATTCAGGTGATAGGACACAGGCGTGGGACATGAAATACACGCACCATGAATTTGACTTAAACCGGTATGGGACCAACCACTTACAGAACAGTAATTTTATCTGTCTCATTTTAACGGCGCAGCCTAGTGAAATGTGTGGGTATCTTGTCTGCCCTAACCTTCTCTTTCTTTAAAAAAAAAAAATTCCCGGGGCACCTGGGTGGCTCAGTGGGTTAAGCCTCTGCCTTCGGCTCAGGTCATGATCTCAGGGTCCTGGGATGGAGCCCCGCATCGGGTTCTCTGCTCGGCAGTGAGCCTGCTTCCCCCTCTCTCTGCCTGCCTCTCTGTCTACTTGTGCTCTCTCTCTCTCTGTCAAATAAATAAATAAATAAAATCTTTAAAAAAAAAAAATTCCCCCATGGGGCGCCTGGGTGGTTCAGTGGGTTAAAGCCTCTGCCTTGGGATCAGGTCATGATCTCAGGGTCCTGGGATCGAGCCCCGCATGGGGCTCTCTGCTCAGCGGGGAGCCTGCTTCCCTCCCTCTCTCTCTCTGCCTACTTGTGATCTCTGTCAAATAAATAAATAAAATCTTTAAAAAAAATTCCCCCAGTTTTGTTGGGATATAATTGACATACATCACTATAAAGTCAAAGGTATACCCCCATAAAGACTCACATCGATTGGAAAATGATTGCCGCAATAAGTTTAACAACCGGCACCTCATATAGATAAAAAAATAGACAAAAGGGGGGGGGACATCTTTTCTTCTTCTGCCATTCCTAAGCATCGTGATTTCTAATCATTCATCCTCGAATTGAGCAGCTATTAAAATAACCCAGACCCAGCCCCTTCCCTCCAAAAGCACACCACCAAAACAAGGTTTTTCTAGATGCCATCAGCTCTGGTGGTCCTCCCAGTCAGTCCATCAGACGGTCAGAAGGCAGTCTGGAAGTTTCAGAGGAAAACAAAATGAAAAAATGGAATGCTTTTGTTCACTGGTGTTTCACAAATCTCAGCAATGATAAGGGACTATTTTCATATTCTTTTACCTCTTGGGAATAAAACCAGGTTCTAAGTCTCAAGAAAGTAGTATTGGCTTGAAGCCCTGGGAACAAGCAGCAGTCTGAATGTATCCAACCCATCACAGACAGCCAATCTAGCAAGGACAGCCCTCATTTCCAATAGCCAGCCAATCACATACAATGCAGTGCACGCCTCTCTGTGTCAAAATCCGACAAAAGCCAGCTTCTACAGGTGAAATCCATCTCTGGTGCCTCTGAAAATTTGCCAACTTCTCAACTCCATCTTGCTAAAAAACATGATATAAGATCAACAGTCGGCTCTGTTTCTCTTTCTGGAGAAACTTCATGAGCCACCTAGCTTTCCTTATTCCAGGAAGTGACAGATTCAGCTTCATCTTCTTATTCCAAATACTGGTCTCTAGGGGAACAACTCCACAGAGGCCTCCTAGCAACCTTGAGTGTCTCCACGAAGGCCATATAGGCAAGACTGAATAGCTCTGAACAGCCTGAAGTTGTTCTTGGATCAAGAGTTGATAAGCATGGTGTGGAGTTGTCTCAAGGCAGGTTCTCACATCTACCTTGGAGGTGTGAGCCATAGGTCATTTCTTATCTAGTTCCCCAGTTTTAGTTGACTGCAGAACTTTCTCCCTGGTGCAAGCTGCTAACTTCTATGTGAATCTATAGAACTGCTTGACAGTAATTTAGAGTTGGCTCTTCACCAGGGAAGGACTAAGGTAAGCAAGCAAGGCACCCAGTGGGCAAAATGTAAGAGGGCACTCACTCTCAGTATCCTACACCTGCCCACCCCGCCCTTTTCCTCAGTAACAGAGCAACTCACTGTTCCTGTGATCTGTTATCTAGCCTCTCCTGGTTGGTGTCATCCTATGGGACCAGGGATAGGGAAGGTGACACCAAGCGGATCTTTCACTTGTCTGTGTAAATAATAAACTGTCTAAATCCATTCAGTATCCTTACAGATCAAACCTATGGAAGTGTGGCAAGCCAGTCTAGCAAGCGCCACCATGCTGCCAATGACAGACCACCTGACCATTTGATAGTCTCTTGAGCATTGCGATGAATTATGTTCTCGAGTTGTCTTCTCATTTGTCCCAAGAAGTGCTACTTCACAGGGTGTCATTCCTCTTGGCTAGTGTACTTTGGCATCAACGGCATGTTGAATGTTAGCTTTGCTTAATTATGTCTCTTTCACTGTTGTGTTGCAACTAATGAAAATAGATCAGTTAATCAGAAGGTGTGTGTGTGTGTGTGTGTGTGTGTTTAAGTAAACTCTACGCCCAATGTGCCCAAACTCAGGACCCTGAGATCAAGTGTTGCATACTCTAGAAGAGGTTTTAAAATTATAAGACAAATAAAAGAATGTAAATATAGAACTTTTGTGTGCTAGATCATGCAGATATGTACTCACAATAAGAACAGAGATGCCTATCTACTTGATTTGTGTTGTAAAACTTTATTCAATAGTGGCATAAAGCCATCAGGGCTGACTTCTCTGGTAAACCAATCTGATTGTTCTGGAACAATTGCTTTCCAGCTGGAGTGATAAAATCTCTCACATGTTCTCTTCCATGTGCTTCCCCCTTTCACTGTGGGACATAAATGGGCACAAGACCTCAGAGAAGGAGGGAGCCACAGATAGAAGCAGCCTGACTTCTCAAATGAACTTGTGTGACAGACTGGCCTGCTGACTAGAACCAACATGGAATAGAAATAAACAAATGTGGGTCTCTTTGTTAAGGAATTTTAACCTGTCCTATCTAATACAATGAAGAAATGGGCAGTGAATACATTCTTCCACAGTGAAGTTGGCTGACATTTGAGGAGAAAAGCTGCTCACATAAGTACTTGAAATAGATGCGATATAGTGTCTTCACTGTGCCAATAATATTAGCAATGACAATTTCTATAATTTCAAGTGGCTCGCTTAAGTGTTGAGCTTTGGAGAAAACACACACACACACACGGTATTCAGTACCTTCATGATGAAGATAAGCTATCACGATTCCTAAAGAAGTCCCAACTGTGGCAGAAAAACGACTCAGTCATGACAATTAATCTTCACTGATTAAAATGTGATCAAGGAGGTATTCTTTTTTTTTTTTAAGGTGTGGGGTTTTTTTTGTTTGTTTGTTTTTTAAAGATTTTATTTATTTATTTGAGAGAGAGAGAGTACAAGCAGGCATAGGCAAAAAGAGAAGCAGTCTCCCAGCTGAACAAGAAGCCTGATGTGGGACTCGATCCAGGACCCTGGGATCATGACCCAAGCTGAAGGCAGACACTTAATTGACTGAACCACCCAGGCATCCCTCAAGGAGGTATTCTTGACCATATTTAAAGATCATGCCCATAGGCTGCAACCAAATCTGAGCTCAGTGTAGCCAAAACTTAAACCAAGAGCCCATTCACTGCTATCTCCCATATTTCAACCTCTCTGTTGTTCAGTGAGCACTGCTTCTCACCTGTCATCAGCTAGATAACATTCATGTTTCCTTAACTCACATTTGTTTCCCTTTTCCCTACCATAAAAGACATTTTTCCCTTTTAAGTTTCAAATGATATCTTTTTTTAAAAGGATAAGGAATTTTTAAATTGAGATCTAACTCACACGCTATACAATTTATCCTTTAAAGTGAACAATCTTGTGATTTTTAGTATATTCACAAGGTATACAAGATCACCACTCTCAAATTCCAGAACATTTTAATCATTCCAAGATAAACTCTGTACCCATTATGCAGATTTGCCTATTCCACATATTTTAAATAACTGGAATCATACAGTATGTGGCCTTTGCACCTGGTTTCTTTCACTTAGCACATTTTTGTTTTCTTTAGGGAAGGAGTGGTTCCAGGTCCCTCCTTGCTTCAGGTAGTTCCCTGGCTTCGGGCAACACAACGACAGTGTTCATATGGTGTTTTCCCCATGTGGGTGTATCTCTGAATCCCAAATTCCCCTTTTTATAAGGACACTAAATGACCCCATCTTAACGTGATCATCTGCAAAGACCCTGTTTCTAAATCAGATTCCATTCACAGGTCTTATTGACTAGGACTTCACATCTTTTTGTGGGACACAGGTCAGCCCATAACAACCCCATGCAGTCACTGCAGTAGATGCCCTTTTCGGGGGCAGAGCAACAAAAGGTCAGCTTGAGCTCCATAAGCAACCAGGTAGTCTTGGTATTTGAAGCTACAGAAATGGCAATGACTTCCACTCTTCCGAACTATAATTTGTAGTTTGGGTTATGTCACATTTGTTTTTTTGTTGTTGCTTATTTTTTTTTTAAAAGAAGGCTCCATGCTCAGCATGCAGCCCAACATAGGACTTGAACTCACAACCCTAAAATCAAGACCTGAGCCAAGATCAAGAGTCAGTTGGACACTCAACCAACCAAACCACCCAGGCACTCTGATTTTTTTTTTTCTAAAAGTAAGCAAAACTGTCCAGAATGGAGAAATATTTATCCTTAAATAACCACACAAGCTAGCTTTTTCCATAAGAATCAACCACAAGAACAAAGATTTGGACATTACCAGCCACCTCCGAAGATACTAGACATGTTAGAAATTAAAATAAACAGAAAAGATGCAGCCTCCCATCTGACTTTATTTTTTAGGGGAAGGGGACAAATT